CGTATGTACGAAGTTCTACATTGCTGTTGATTGATTGATTGGCTAGGAATTGAGTAGAAACTCAGATAGGCTTACTATTATATTTTTCTACTTAGAAACTGGGATTTCATAAACATGATAAGATTGAAGATTAGAAAATTTCCTGTGATTCTTAGTAAAGATGATAGAAAATTTTTCCGGGGCAAAGAGCAGAAAACAAATAAACCTGATATATACAACAGATTGGATAAGATTTTTGGATTTTTTTGAAGTGAACTGATGATGGCTTTGGTAGATGTGTGCACGAAATTCACTAATTCACGTCGACAAAGCATCTTCACATTATATAACTGATGTCAGCTGGTTAAAGAATACTCTATGATGCGTGTCCAACGAAAGTAAGTTGTGATTGACCAGCGAAATAATACAAACTGATATTCATTCAGCTTATTAAAATATGTGAATTTATTTCTACTATCGATTGTTACTCTGAATTCACTGTGGGTATGGACTGCTAGTGTTTGTGTTGAATAAATCCCATTATCTGAGCTATACATACAGTAACAAATCGATTATCTGGTATAACGACATGGTCCCAGTCTGCGTATAGCGTATCGATCGAATAGCAAGTCTTGTGTTAGAAGGATGCATTTATTTCGCAACAGTAGTATATATCATGATAAACAGAAAATATTTTTAGTTTTCTCCAGCCTCAACACTTTCTTCATCTACTCTATAAGTAATAATTCACATGAAAAAGTTCATTAACGATGTCAAAGTTCTTTATCATTTGTAGTTTTATTAGTATTTCGATGTCAAGTTATTTCATAACTGGACAACACTGCATTTGGAAATGTATACTACAGAATGTATCAGATGAAAGTAGGCTGTGATTTGTCAACAAGTGAAAAACAGACATAACCAGCCGGACACATTAAATAATATAAAGATTATCTTGATATAATGTATGATTGACTTCATTTTTAACTTCAATTAGCGACTGTGTTTTGTTATGTATGCCAATTAACTCTCATTCAGGCTTATACGTAACATTTTAAATAATCAGTTAGGAAATTCGATCGAGTTTATGATGCAATCTTATGGCGTAGGCGAGATATTCGTTTGCTTACCAAAAGACGATTCGCTTCGTCTTACTATATGGATGCGAAACATGTTCGATAAGAGTTAAGGATATTTTTAAGGTTACTAATTTTCGATAATAGGTATCTTCGAAGCAGTGCTCGTGCATCTGTATTCCGAATATATTTCCTCAAAGCATGTGTATGTTACTCGATTCATAGCTTAGCGTCCTTAGCCTTGGCCAACGATAAGTGCAAACCGACACGATTAACTTCAGCCTGGAGCGGAGACAGTTATTAAGAAGGGAAGGATAAAATTATGAGCAAATTGATTTCGTATGCTGTTAGGGGTGTGAGGGCAGGTGTCACTTCCCGGCTGCCAACACTGTATAAGGGTTTTCCTTGAGGAATCGGTAGATGAAGTTAGATTAGCGTTGGTCTTAAAGACTTGAAAGCATGACCACAGAGCTCAAGAGATAAATACTTCAGACCGATCACACACGGTCTTTTTATAGGAAGTTTTTAAAGTGTTAGCTGCACTCTTCAAAATGCCTTACCACAGGAGACGGAAATTCGAAGGATAAAGTGAGGTGTGACATTTTTAGGGTCGACCTTTTCTAACCGTTCCTTCCTTGTGAGAAGGCAGCATCGCTGCAGATGCTGGTCGTCTGAGGGAAACACCTTACTGCTGTCACACCCCTCTACAGTCAGAAGTACGACTTCGTCCTCAGACATCCAGTAGCTTGCTTTTGGTCTCATTGTTCTCCAATCAACCTGCCTGGCATGGTAGAACCTACAGGAACCTATGTTTCAACCAACATAGCTCGATTGGATCATCATAATAGACAAGGCCGACCACCACGTCAAGGTAGAAGCTACGGTCGAGATAACAATAGTCAAGTGTTCAGACTTATCAAGGAAACTCGTATTAGAAATCCGACTCGGCTGGAAAAAGAGGGGAATAATATTCATTCTCAATTCAAGAGATTGGATTGATGGGCAGAACACTGTAGCGAACAATTCAACTAGCCTTCAGCAACAATTCAGTTATTCACGATCTCTAGTCAACCCGAACGGCGAATTGACGTATGTCCCTCCCCCACCCCAACTCTTAATGAAGTTGAAAAGGCTATAGACGGCAATTTAAGGCAATGAAGAGTACCAGATACTGAGAGATGAACTAATTAACACCTAAATATTAAATTACATGTTCAAACCCATTTAGATGATTTTGTCAAGTTAGATTGTAATGAACACCGGTGAACATCATAGTTCATTTATAATTCTACACTAGTATAAAACAAAACAAAACATGAACTTACATAATTTAGAAAATTTTTTCAAAGAATAATTTGATGGAATCATAATATTACAATTTGTTTCATCTTGTGATAAATTCACTTGATTCATAGGTACTCTTAAATCACAATCTGGTAGAGTATCACATAACATTGTCGCTTGAACACAAATAGCATGTTTACTTGATAAGACATTATATACATTGGACAAGGGTGATGATGATGATGGGGACGATGGAGTCGATGAAGATATCGATAGACTCTTTTCGTTGTCCTGATGATGGTGATTGTTAGTTGTTGTTGTATTAGAAATTTTTAAAGATTGAAGACACCAGAATCCAGAGAAAAACTCGCATAATGCTTTCTCTAAAAATTTCAAGAGATAAAAATACTTGATTATGTGAATCACTGTAAATTATTCTTCTGATATGAGATAACCATCTAAGGGAGCCTAAATCGAAGTAAGTAGTTTTCTTAGGGGACCCCGGAATATTAGCCTTTGATCTACAGGTCTAATCTATATAAGCAATGGATCAATGTCAGAAGATGCAGTCTCATGGTAGCTAGTGACTAACAATAAGTTTGTTTATACACCATTCTCTCCCTCAGGATTATGGAGTCCATATGCAACATTGTTTTGAAATCACGGTTTCCAACTTCCCCTAGCGGCATATCCTCCGTACCCACCTACGAACAGACATCAACTAACCTGCATAAAAACTCACTATAACCAAATAGATAAATGAATTTCACGCAAAAGTACCAGAGATATCATCTGATTAGTGCGTTCATAAAAAATGTTATATCACCCGGTTAAGATTTATTTCAAGATTAAAGATTAAGAAATAGGATTTAAGTATAATGTCGATTCAACTGTTATATACAATCTCCAGAGAAAGAACTGAACAGTTAATACGTTCAACATTACTATTTTTCACTCTACGATTGAGAAAAATGACATTTCAATATCATTTCAAACATTTTAAGCAATAAACAAGGATACTTCTACTGTTTGACATACGTAGTATTTGAATTTTGCATAAAAATCTAAAAACCTCATTCGTAATACAGATATTGCATCGAAAAACAAGTTTTTTTGGTTGTTACTTTAAAGAAAATAAATGAAAATGATGGTGTGAAACGCGTCAACAGTTTACTTCTTTCTACATTAACTGTACATAACAACACACAAATTAGTGAGTTTTTACTGCGCTCTACTTTCATCACAGTATGTAAGCATCTCAAAGGAATCACTTTATTAGTGTAGGGTAGATTGAATGTGCCTAGCAATGGGATCCAGAAGGCATATCGTTTCGTCCTATTAAAGACTCGTCTGTAGCGGAATGCACCTGCCACAGTCCAGAGCTGATATTCACTTCTGGACTCGAACCCAGAACCGTTTGCATCAAACGACATCACTTTACGCACTTAACTATTGAGCCTAGATAGCCGCTTACTTATGTAATAGGTAAAAGATTTGACTCAATTTGAAATAGTTTGGATTATCTATCTATTCTATAATATAAATAATTTTCTTAAATTTATGGTGAAATACTTTGCATTGTTATGAACTGTCTCTTCATTCATTCATGCCCAAATTGAAGTCAAATCATAAAGAGAGACTTCAAGATATTTTACTCAATCAGTCCACGTTTTAAAGAACTTACTGTCCATTAGTATAGGGTACAATTGACAGGAAGAAAAATAAACACGATAGCATTTGAAGTAAACGGTGTTAGGTTCGAGTCCAGGAGTGAATACTAATCCGACGAATCCAGAAGAGACTACTTCAATCAGTCAGTTACAAAGTAGAACTTCGTACGTACGTATATCATTTCAGGTTGCCATACCACATCAGAACAGAGACACAATTGTCAATTCAAATCCCATAGTGGTAGAGGCAATAAAGGTATGAACAGTAATCGGAAAGATTAGGGTTTGAAGATATTATTCAAGAAGTATAATCCAATGAAATAAATTTAAAAAGACAAAGACATAGGTGATGAGGAATTCAGAAGATTAGAATTCCAGAGAATACAAAGAGTGGATGCACCTGTGTCACTGCAAACGATTTTGAGCCATGTTATTCAAGGTCTCTAACCATCGGTTACTATCGTCTTGTGGACCCCAAACAGGTAGTCTACACTTACCAATATGACTCAGTCTACTTGTCAGTGACATGGATTTCTGCCAGGCTTTGGTTTAGCCACTACTAACTTTCTTTCAACCTACTCCTACACCACAAAACATTGCTTGACGAAAACACCAGTTATAATGCAGTCTAGTTAATTGCAGACTAGTTAATAGCAGTCGTAAAACATTAGTAAACAGGTTTAAACACGATATTTATCAAATAACGCAAAATGAAAACATACGGCGTTCCATAGAGAAATTTCCTACAAATAACATATGTGAAGAGATACGCACAAGAAATTTAATGCCTGACGTTGAAAGGAAATGTTGATTATTGAGATTGTTTAAAGGAGATGATGATTTCAGTGATGGTGGCAACGAGTGGTTACTAACACCTTCACATCAAAGATTGAATTGAATGAGAAGCGGAACTATTCAACAGAGATGTGTTTGTAATCGATGTAAGATTTGTAATCTCTGTTTCCTTCTTCAAGTTCCATGAAATACGGATTCTTCGTAAATATCCAGATAAACTCCAATGATTCGACTGACCAATATGAGAACCTGAGCAGTTGATCAGTAAGATTTCATCAGGCTTTTTTAAAGCACCGGCAGAAAATAAAAAGTAGAAATAGTCAATGAATTAAAGAAATTAAATCGATTGATTTGTTAATGAATATTATCATTATTATTATTATTATCCGATAATGTGAATTCTGTAAACAAAACTAACAAACACTGTTGTATTCAGCTGAGAGTCATCAATAATTAAGATATGAGCTGCTAAACAGAACATTTAAACGAACTATATGATCATAAGACTAAAACAATTATTTTCATTGATTGAATATTTGAATACAATAATGTATGAGAAGTACAGTTAGATGTAAAGCCATCCCTGGTTAAGTTGACGAAGCATTGAGATATACATTTTTTTGAAATCATGTATCAATCATTGTTATTAGGCCACCATTAGAAACCTGGAAACACTGGACAGCCGTTTCGTCCTAGTATGGGACTTGTCAGCAACGCGCATCCACGACTCCTGCACCTTGCAGGCTTCGGACCGAGGACCTTTGGTCTTGTGTTCGAACTCCTAAGGGTGTTAATGTTTTACTTCGATCAATTCACGGTCTTGCGTGACCTCATACACTGTCTTCGGTGAGCAATGCTTCACACCTAAACAAGGTTGAACTCCACTAGTCACGACTTCTCACCACGACTCGGAAAAACTCCCTCGCGGAACTAGTCACTAGTGAGTCAGGTAATTTGCATTATGAAGTTGTAGAAGTTGTTAAGTTACCCTTATGAAATTGATCGAAACAGCCGTCCAGTACTTCCAGGTTTCTAATGGTAATGGTCTAACAGTGATCGATTCATGATTTCCAAAAGTAACTCAACATCTCCACAACCCACATAACCGAGATATATGTGCAAAGGTATTTACCTGTGGATATTTTGATAATTATCCTTTCCGAAACTGACCTTTTTTGCAAAGCGGTTGGTTTAACAGTTAAAGTAGTTAATGTTTTAACCCACCCAAGGCACAGGTTTGAATGTTGTTTCACTAAATTCAGTTTTAGCAACTGAGTAGTATATGAATCTGTGATTAGACTAACTACTGAATGGTATACATTTATCTAACCAGGTTTGGTAAGCCTCTCTCTCACAAACTTATTTTTTTCATTTTTATATGAGTAGTTAAAAGAGTGAAGGTTAATTAAACTGATATCAACAAAACCCTAACTTGACCTTTATCGCCCTGCCAAGACCGATGGGATAGTGCATGACGCTATTGTTGTGTCCTAGGTTCAAAGAGAGTTGTATGCGATAGGTGTGCACTCCGCCCCATTATTGTTCCCGTTTCTTCCGCAAGATGCAAGTAATCGATGGTTAGAGACCTTGAATGGCATGGCTCAAAACCTTTTGCAATGAAGCATGTGCATTCATTCTTTGTGTTCTCTCAGATCCTAAACTTTTTAATTCTTCATCATTTTATCGTTATCTTCACTAGATTCTACTTCTTGAATAATATATTCTAATCCTAACCTCTCCGACTACTACTAATACCTTTACAAACTATTAGATTTGAATTGACAATTACATCTCTGTGCTAATGTTGGTACGGCATAAATGAACTGATGTACGTACGTACAAAGTTTCTACGTTGCTATTGATATGACTGACTGACGTTTATTGAGATATTCAAATGTTTTACAGTATTTTGTATAGTACCGATAATAACGTGATGATGTCTGATGATGAGATTTCGAAATTAACTTTTATCAACGAAACTACTGCTTAATTAAAAAATCCACACATTGGATGACGTAACAATCGACTTGACAGGATACTGAAACGACAAATTAATAATGCCAACTTTAGTGGCAGTCCTCTCTGTTCCAAAAATTACTTTTTACAAATACTTTCCCTATTCGACAACACTACTCTCTGTAAAGCAACATATTTTAAAAAGTCAACTGACTAACAGATAATTAGACGGTAAAAACATTTCGATCATCCATCGACTTACTGCTTCCCCAATATTATTAGTTGAATCATGGAAATCACCATCCTATCTTGTCGCCAATGTTTTGTATTCCATTCTAATGATTGCACAGCCATTGTTCCAATTGATAGATAGTATTAGTTCCAGATAAATGAGTATTTTGTGGACAAAGTAAAATTGACATATGAGCTCTTATATAGCCAATAAGAGTGTGCGCTTTTTAATTTAAAAGGAACCGAGATGTGGTAATATAGGTAAGCATACACTTACTCTTGATCAATATAGTTGTGTAAGATGCCGGAAGATAGAAATTAATTGAAAATAAAACACACTTGAATCCTGGAAGTACTAGATATCTGGTTAACCCTAGTATAGGACTCTTCAGCAGTGTTTGTTCACTATCCCAACAGAGAAAGTCGAACCCACAAGAATCCTCCACAATTCATTGTGCCTCACTAGAACTTCAGCAGTTTCGTTTTAAAGTTAATCACCAGTGATCAAAACAGTGTCGGGTGACGGCTAAATGGTCTAGTGATCAATCGCCCGCGCGAGAAACCGAAGGTGATGGGGTTTGATTCCCGGGTGCAAGGTAGTGGGTGTGTACTGCTGAGCAGTTTTATACTGAACAGAATTGGCTGTGCAATGCCTGCAGGTTTCTGATGGTAATCTAGTTAAAATAAGTTCGTGATTTAAACAGAACATTCTGCATTCTACTGAAATGCCCAATACTAATAAGAACAGTCCAAGGAGAACTATCAAACAAAATCATTTGACAGCACAGTCAAATTGGCTTAATTATGCAACCACCTACTTTATGACAAGGCTCACAAGCAAGATTTGGTGAATACACTTGAATTATAAAAGTAAAACATCCGGTCCTAGACATGATGCAACACCCAGCAGCTTGAGACATTATCGATATGGTTTAGAATGAGATGCAAGTGGTGGTCGTACTGATATAATTTAGTTTCATTTTCTTTACACGTGACCAGTGAAGTCCAACCTGTTCGGGTGTAGATAGTAACTACCGAAGGCTGTGTATGAGGTTGCGCAAATCCGTGAATTGATCAAGTTAGGACATTAACACCGTTAGATACCGGCTCAGTAGTCCGATGGTTAGGCGTTCGCGCACAATACCGACGGTCCTGGGTTCGAACCCTGAGGGGTGCAGGAGTCGTGGATGCGCACTGCTGAGGAATCGCATATTAGGACGAAACGACCGTCCAGTGCTTACAGGTTTCAAATGGTGGTCTAACATTGATCGATTCATGATTTCAAAAGTGTGTAACTTAACAATCTTCACAACCCCGTAATGTACTTTAGCAAAAGTTAATTCTTTAACTAGAAGAATTCTTTTTTCGATTGTATTTTCTTTAACCAAACCGTTTCTCCTGATATTAGGATTATTTGACTTTTATATTGATTTCTAAGGATTTTTAATTTTTTTATACTCCCCGCTCTTTTCCTATCGCTTGACAAATTCATTTTTATCGTGGGGCGCGTATATATTTTAGTATTTGCTTGTACTAATATTTGTGTTGTAAATAAATAAACGTCCCAAGCAATATGATTTAGATAAGCTCAATTAAATAAACTAACAATGAAGTTGCCTTGAAAAAGACAATATTGACAATCTATACAACCAAGTGACTTTCTTGATGTTTAATAGTATTATGTAGAAAAGTTAACTAGTTATTGTAAACTCCACAAAATGTTTTGATATTGAAAAGAGAGAAAATAACAGAAATATACTGCGGTATGATAAAACCTTAGTTTCCACCTTTAAGTAATGCTGAAATTTGTTTAACACGATAACCTGAGCCACATAAAGTGTGGGGGATATCATGTCTGGAACTCCAAACTGGTGGGCGGCCTATGCTCCATTGGAGGTAACAGGCGTAAGTAAGTAAGTAAGTATATCATGTCAGGTAAGTACATTGAACAGTGGATAATACCAAAAGTAAAAATTCTACGTTCCAAGACCAACTGTCTGACTGACTGACTGACTACGTTCCAAGACAAAAGTGATGCTGCCAATTACACGTGGGTGTAAAGTTCTTTTTTCGAGGATAACTAATCACCAGTGATGTTACCGTCCTAAAATAGGAGGGAGATTGGAGAATGACTCTAAAAATAATACACCTCACATAAGCCAGCACATCTGTAGCAGTAGTGTCAGAAAAGTACATAATTATTATATTGAGAATTACTCGCAAAAGATTATTAATCTCAAGCAACTATCTGTTGAATCTAAAATGTTTGCTTTCAGGTTGAAAAAAAAGCAGTACTATTGCAGTATCTTTTCGATATGCTTCAAGAGGATAACTTCTTCCACAGTGCGGACAACTAGAAAGTATCAGTTACCTAAATTTTTATAACTCTGATCTGTTTCACATTGTCTAGAATAAGCTCAATTTACTCCCTTTTAGTATTTCTACCTTATTAACAAAGCTCCCTTTCTAGTCTCATCTTCTAATCCGAGACCAATAAATGCAGATGATTTGATCATAGAAAATTCTACCTATGGCCACGAGAATTTCTACCATTATGAGCTCTTACAGTTTCAATTGTTTGGACAGAGTACAAACGACTGTTGACTGGAACATCATCCAAAAGATCTTGTTACGCTTAAAAATATATCGTTATAAGTGAACTTGCAAGACTATAAAGAGTTACTGTCAGATTTTGAGAAGCGCGATGAATGAACTATGCTAGACCATTGATTCATTTCATGACATTTCATACCAAATACTTTACTACTATTCCTGAAATGATACCTTATACTGACATTCACTTCAGAGTAGACCTACCCATATTTGAGAACCGCTTTATAGATGCATAAAAATGAACAATAAGTTTTTATGCCTTTACGATACGAAGTTGCACATTAACAATGCATGAGAGTAACAAATCGCACTTTTTTGTTTGTAGTACAGACATTTTACGGGCACCATAAACGACGCAAAATACCCGATAGGTTCATTTTTATTCGCACTTGAATTTTATCAACAATCAACCCTCTCTAAACGTAATGAAAGTAAACCGATCAGCTTACATTTGAACTGAGTCGAAAGCCCTAGTTTGTAGTTTCCCAGTAAAAAAAGACAAGTAAGATGTACGAAAGATTGTTGAAAGAAAACGGAACAAAAGACATGTCACATTCTAGGTGGACTAGAGAATAGTCAAGTAAGCGCTTTAACTGATGAGTTAAGTTTTTTTAATTAGCTTGAATTCCATCTCATCGTAAATATTACTGTAGTTGAATGACAGGAAAAATAAAAAAATAAAAACTTACTAAACCTTCTGGAAATGATCGTTTCACAAAACGACCAGAAGGATGAATAACTAATCCAGGACATAAAGCAATTTTTGGATTCCTTGAAAGATTATGAAAGGAAGGTGTGGTATTTACATACCACACCTTCCTTTCATAATCTTTCAAGGAATCCAAAAATTGCTTTATGTCCTGGATTAGTTATTCATCCTTCTGGTCGTTTTGTGAAACGATCATTTCCAGAAGGTTTAGTAAGTTTTTATTTTTTTATTTTTTCTGTCATTCAACTACAGTAATATTTACGATGAGATGGAATTCAAGCTAATTAAAAAAAACTTAACTCATCAGTTAAAACGCTAACTCATCAGTTAAAGCGCTTACTTGAATATTCTCTAGTCCAACTAGAATGCGACATGTCTTTTGTTCCGTTTTCTTTCAACAATCTTTTGTACATCTTACTTGTTTTTTTACTGAGAAACTACAATCTAAAGCTTTCGACTCAGTTAAAATATAAGCTGATCGATTTGCTTTCATTACATTTAGAGAGGGTCGATTGCTGATAAAATCTAAGTGTGAATAAAAATGAACCTATCGGGTATTTTGCGTCGTTTATGGTGCCCGTAAAATGTCTGTACTACAAACAAAAAAGTGCGACTTGTTACTCTCATGCATTGTTAGTGTGCAACTTCGTATCGTAAAGGCATACAAACTTATTGTTCTTTTTTATGAATCTATAAAGCGGTTCTCAAATATGGGTAGGTCTACTCTGAAGTGAATGTTAGTATAAGGTATCATTTCAGGAATAGTAGTAAAGTATTTGGTATGAAATGTCATGAAATGAATCAATGGTCTAGCATAGTTCATTCATCGCGTTTCTCAAAATCTGACAGTAACTCTTTATAGTCTTGCAAGTTCACGTATAACGATACATTTTTAAACGTAACAAGATCTTTTGGATAATGTTCCAGTCAACAGTCGTTTGTAATCTATCCAAACAATTGAAACTGTAAGAGCTCATAATGGTAGAAATTCTCGGAATTGTGGCCATAGGTAGAATTTTCTATGATCAAATCATCTGCATATATTGGTCTCGGATTAGAAGATGAGACTAGAAAGGGAGCTTTGTTAATAAGGTAGAAATACTAAAAGGGAGTAAATTGAGCTTATTCTAGACAATGTGAAACAGATCAGAGTTATAAAAATTTAGGTAACTGATACTTTCTAGTTGTCCGCACTGTGGAAGAAGTTATCCTCTTGAAGCATATCGAAAAGATACTGCAATAGTACTGCTTTTTTTCAACCTGAAAGCAAACATTTTAGATTCAACAGATAGTTGCTTGAGATTAATAATCTTTTGCGAGTAATTCTCAATATAATAATTATGTACTTTTCTGACACTACTGCTACAGATGTGCTGGCTTATGTGAGGTGTATTATTTTTAGAGTCATTCTCCAATCTCCCTCCTATTTTAGGACGGTAACATCACTGGTGATGTTAGTTATCCTCGAAAAAAGAACTTTACACCCACGTGTAATTGGCAGCATCACTTTTGTCTTGGAACGTAGTCAGTCAGTCAGTCAGACAGTTGGTCTTGGAACGTAGAATTTTTACTTTTGGTATTATCCACTGTTCAATGTACTTACCTGACATGATATACTTACTTACTTACTTACGCCTGTTACCTCCAATGGAGCATAGGCCGCCCACCAGTTTGGAGTTCCAGACATGATATCCCCCACACTTTATGTGGCTCAGGTTATCGTGTTAAACAAATTTCAGCATTACTTAAAGGTGGAAACTAAGGTTTTATCATACCGCAGTATATTTCTGTTATTTTCTCTCTTTTCAATATCAAAACATTTTGTGGAGTTTACAATAACTAGTTAACTTTTCTACATAATACTATTAAACATCAAGAAAGTCACTTGGTTGTATAGATTGTCAATATTGTCTTTTTCAAGGCAACTTCATTGTTAGTTTATTTAATTGAGCTTATCTAAATCATATTGCTTGGGACGTTTATTTATTTACAACACAAATATTAGTACAAGCAAATACTAAAATATATACGCGCCCCACGATAAAAATGAATTTGTCAAGCGATAGGAAAAGAGCGGGGAGTATAAAAAATTAAAAAATCCTTAGAAATCAATATAAAAGTCAAATAATCCTAATATCAGGAGAAACGGTTTGGTTAAAGAAAATACAATCGAAAAAAGAATTCTTCTAGTTAAAGAATTAACTTTTGCTAAAGTACATTACGGGGTTGTGAAGATTGTTAAGTTACACACTTTTGAAATCATGAATCGATCAATGTTAGACCACCATTTGAAACCTGGAAGCACTGGACGGTCGTTTCGTCCTAATATGCGATTCCTCAGCAGTGCGCATCCACGACTCCTGCACCCCTCAGGGTTCGAACCCAGGACCGTCGGTATTGTGCGCGAACGCCTAACCATCGGACTACTGAGCCGGTATCTAACGGTGTTAATGTCTAACTTGATCAATTCACGGATTTGCGCAACCTCATACACAGCCTTCGGTAGTTACTATCTACACCCGAACAGGTTGGACTTCACTGGTCACGTGTAAAGAAAATGAAACTAAATTATATCAGTACGACCACCACTTGCATCTCATTCTAAACCATATCGATAATGTCTCAAGCTGCTGGGTGTTGCATCATGTCTAGGACCGGATGTTTTACTTTTATAATTCAAGTGTATTCACCAAATCTTGCTTGTGAGCCTTGTCATAAAGTAGGTGGTTGCATAATTAAGCCAATTTGACTGTGCTGTCAAATGATTTTGTTAGATAGTTCTCCTTGGACTGTTCTTATTAGTATTGGGCATTTCAGTAGAATGCAGAATGTTCTGTTTAAATCACGAACTTATTTTAACTAGATTACCATCAGAAACCTGCAGGCATTGCACAGCCAATTCTGTTCAGTATAAAACTGCTCAGCAGTACACACCCACTACCTTGCACCCGGGAATCAAACCCCATCACCTTCGGTTTCTCGCGCGGGCGATTGATCACTAGACCATTTAGCCGTCACCCGACACTGTTTTGATCACTGGTGATTAACTTTAAAACGAAACTGCTGAAGTTCTAGTGAGGCACAATGAATTGTGGAGGATTCTTGTGGGTTCGACTTTCTCTGTCGTGATAGTGAACAAACACTGCTGAAGAGTCCTATACTAGGGTTAACCAGATATCTAGTACTTCCAGATTCAAGTTGTTTTATTTCAATTAATTTCTATCTTCGCATCTTACACAAATATTGATCAAAGTTAAGTGTATGCTTACCTATTTCACTCTCGATCTTTTTAATTAAAAAGGCACTCTTTTGGTTATTAAGAGCTCATATTCAATTTACTTGTCCAAAAAATACTCATTTATCTGAATCATATTATCTTCAATTGGAACAATGGATTGAATCATTAGAATGGAATACAAAACATTGGCGACAAGATACTTTGAAAAAAGATCAAGATGGTGATTTCATTGATTCAACTAATAATATTGGGGAAGCAGTAAGTCGATGGATGATGAAATGTTTTTACCGTCTTAATTATATGTTAGTCAGTTGACTTTTTAAAATATGTTGCTTACAGAGAGTAGTGTTGTCGAATAGGGAAAGTATTTGTAAAAAGTAATTTTTGGAACAGAGAGGACTGCACTAAAGTTGGCATTATTAATTGTCGTTTCAGTATCCTGTCAGTCGATTGTTACGTCATCCAATGTGTGGATTTTTTAATTAAGCAGTCGTTTCGTTGATAAAAGTTAATTTCGAAATCTCATCATCAGACATCATCACGTATTATCGGTACTTATACAAATACTGTAAAACATTTGAATATCTCAATAAACGTCAGTCAGTCAATCAATAGCAACGTAGAACTTTGTACGTACGTACATCAGTTCATATTGCCGTACCACATTAGCACAGAGATGTAATTGTCAATTCAAATCTAATAGTTGTAGAGGTAGTAAAGGTATTAGTAGTAGTCGGAGAGGTTAGGATTAGAATATATTATTCAAGAAGTAGAATCTAGTGAAGATAACGATAAAATGATGAAGAATTAAAAAGTTTAGGATCTGAGAGAACACAAAGAATGAATGCACATGCTTCATTGCAAACGGTTTTGAGCCATGCCATTCAAGGTCTCTAACCATCGATTACTTGCATCTTGCGGAAGAAACGGGAACAATAATGGGGCGGAGTGCACACCTATCGCATACAACTCTCTTTGAACCTAGGACACAACAATAGCGTCATGCACTATCCCATCGGTCTTGGCAGGGCGATAAAGGTCAAGTTAGGGTTTTGTTGATATCAGTTTAATTAACCTTCACTCTTTTAACTACTCATATAAAAATGAAAAAAATAAGTTTGTGAGAGAGAGGCTTACCAAACCTGGTTAGATAAATGTATACCATTCAGTAGTTAGTCTAATCACAGATTCATATACTACTCAGTTGCTAAAACTGAATTTAGTGAAACAACATTCAAACCTGTGCCTTGGTGGTTAAACATTAATACTTTAACTGTTAAACCACCGCTTTGCAAAAAGGTCAGTTTCGGAAGTAATTATCAAATATCCACAGTAAATACCTTTGCACATATATCTCGGTTATGTGGTTGTGGAGATTGTTGAGTTACTTTTGGAAATCATGAACCGATCACTGTTAGACCATTACCATTAGAAACCTGGAAGTACTGGACGGCTGTTTCGATCAATTTCATAAGGGTAACTTAACAACTTCTACAACCCCATAATGCAAATTACCTGACTCACTAGTGACTAGTTCCGCGAGGTAGTTTTTCCGAGTCGTGGTGAGAAGTCGTGACTAGTGGAGTTCAACCTTGTTTAGGTGTGAAGCATTGCTCACCGAAGACAGTGTATGAGGTCACGCAAGACCGTGAATTGATCGAAGTAAAACATTAACACCCTTAGGAGTTCGAACACAAGACCAAAGGTCCTCGGTCCGAAGCCTGCAAGGTGCAGGAGTCGTGGATGCGCGTTGCTGACAAGTCCCATACTAGGACGAAACGGCTGTCCAGTGTTTCCAGGTTTCTAATGGTGGCCTAATAACAATGATTGATACATGATTTCAAAAAAATGTATATCTCAATGCTTCGTCAACTTAACCAGGGATGGCTTTACATCTAACTGTACTTCTCATACATTATTGTATTCAAATATTCAATCAATGAAAATAATTGTTTTAGTCTTATGATCATATAGTTCGTTTAAATGTTCTGTTTAGCAGCTCATATCTTAATTATTGATGACTCTCAGCTGAATACAACAGTGTTTGTTAGTTTTGTTTACAGAATTCACATTACCGGATAATAATAATAATAATAATAATAATAATAATATTCATTAACAAATCAATCGATTTAATTTCTTTAATTCATTGACTATTTCTACTTTTTATTTTCTGCCGGTGCTTTAAAAAAGCCTGATGAAATCTTACTGATCAACTGCTCAGGTTCTCATATTGGTCAGTCGAATCATTGGAGTTTATCTGGATATTTACGAAGAATCCGTATTTCATGGAACTTGAAGAATGAAACAGAGATTACAAATCTTACATCGATTACAAACACATCTCTGTTGAATAGTTCCGCTTCTCATTCAATTCAATCTTTGAGTGAAGGTGTTAGTGACCATTCGTTGCCGCCATCATTGAAATCATCATCTCCTTTAAACAATCTCAATAATCAACATTTCCTTTCAACGTCAGGCATTAAATTTCTTGTGCGTATCTCTTCACATATGTTATTTGTAGGAAATTTCTCTATGGAACGCCGTATGTTTTCATTTTGCGTTATTTGATAAATATCGTGTTTAAACCTGTTTACTAATGTTTTACGACTGCTATTAACTAGTCTGCAATTAACTAGACTGCATTATAACTGGTGTTTTCGTCAAGCAATGTTTTGTGGTGTAGGAGTAGGTTGAAAGAAAGTTAGTAGTGGCTAAACCAAAGCCTGGCAGAAATCCATGTCACTGACAAGTAGACTGAGTCATATTGGTAAGTGTAGACTACCTGTTTGGGGTCTACAAGACGATAGTAACCGATGGTTAGAGACCTTGAATAACATGGCTCAAAATCGTTTGCAGTGACACAGGTGCATCCACTCTTTGTATTCTCTGGAATTCTAATCTTCTGAATTCCTCATCACCTATGTCTTTGTCTTTTTAAATTTATTTCATTGGATTATACTTCTTGAATAATATCTTCAAACCCTAATCTTTCCGATTACTGTTCATACCTTTATTGCCTCTACCACTATGGGATTTGAATTGACATTGTGTCTCTGTTCTGATGTGGTATGGCAACCTGAAATGATATACGTACGTACGAAGTTCTACTTTGTAACTGACTGATTGAAGTAGTCTCTTCTGGATTCGTCGGATTAGTATTCACTCCTGGACTCGAACCTAACACCGTTTACTTCAAATGCTATCGTGTTTATTTTTCTTCCTGTCAATTGTACCCTATACTAATGGACAGTAAATTCTTTAAAACGTGGACTGATTGAGTAAAATATCTTGAAGTCTCTCTTTATGATTTGACTTCAATTTGGGCATGAATGAATGAAGAGACAGTTCATAACAATGCAAAGTATTTCACCATAAATTTAAGAAAATTATTTATATTATAGAATAGATAGATAATCCAAACTATTTCAAATTGAGTCAAATCTTTTACCTATTACATAAGTAAGCGGCTATCTAGGCTCAATAGTTAAGTGCGTAAAGTGATGTCGTTTGATGCAAACGGTTCTGGGTTCGAGTCCAGAAGTGAATATCAGCTCTGGACTGTGGCAGGTGCATTCCGCTACAGACGAGTCTTTAATAGGACGAAACGATATGCCTTCTGGATCCCATTGCTAGGCACATTCAATCTACCCTACACTAATAAAGTGATTCCTTTGAGATGCTTACATACTGTGATGAAAGTAGAGCGCAGTAAAAACTCACTAATTTGTGTGTTGTTATGTACAGTTAATGTAGAAAGAAGTAAACTGTTGACGCGTTTCACACCATCATTTTCATTTATTTTCTTTAAAGTAACAACCAAAAAAACTTGTTTTTCGATGCAATATCTGTATTACGAATGAGGTTTTTAGATTTTTATGCAAAATTCAAATACTACGTATGTCAAACAGTAGAAGTATCCTTGTTTATTGCTTAAAATGTTTGAAATGATATTGAAATGTCATTTTTCTCAATCGTAGAGTGAAAAATAGTAATGTTGAACGTATTAACTGTTCAGTTCTTTCTCTGGAGATTGTATATAACAGTGAATCGACATTATACTTAAATCCTATTTCTTAATCTTTAATCTTGAAATAAATCTTAACCGGGTGATATAACATTTTTTATGAACGCACTAATCAGATGATATCTCTGGTACTTTTGCGTGAAATTCATTTATCTATTTGGTTATAGTGAGTTTTTATGCAGGTTAGTTGATGTCTGTTCGTAGGTGGGTACGGAGGATATGCCGCTAGGGGAAGTTGGAAACCGTGATTTCAAAACAATGTTGCATATGGACTCCATAATCCTGAGGGAGAGAATGGTGTATAAACAAACTTATTGTTTAGTCACTAGCTACCATGAGACTGCATCTTCTGACATTGATCCATTGCTTATATAGATTAGACCTGTAGATCAAAGGCTAATATTCCGGTGTCCCCTAAGAAAACTACTTACTTCGATTTAGGCTCCCTTAGATGGTTATCTCATATCAGAAGAATAATTTACAGTGATTCACATAATCAAGTATTTTTATCTCTTGAAATTTAGAGGAAAGCATTATGCGAGTTTTTTATCTGGATTCTGGTGTCTTCAATCTTTAAAAATTTCAATACAACAACAACTAACAATCACCATCATCAGGACAACGAAAAGAGTCTATCGACATCTTCATCGACTCCATCGTCCCCATCATCATCATCACCCTTGTCCAATGTATATAATGTCTTATCAAGTAAACATGCTATTTGTGTTCAAGCGACAATGTTATGTG